TATAAAAAGTCTTATATGTACCTTCTCTTGTCTAGGTTCTCATTGCTAGTACCAAACACATGCCAAGGGATAAAATTGGAATTGCAGACTCTTGCTTGACCTATAAAGAGAAAAAGCCTGTTAATGAACTCAACTCCTTAGAAATTTCTCTGAAGATTTTCTCCTTCGATATGAGGTTCGCATTTTCATCACTTCCATTTTCTTATAAAATTTTCCATTCATTTTCATTTGAGAAAATGCTTGAACAAACAATTTAGAACTACATGCACATAGTTTTGTTTAGTTCATAATTATATTGCATTCTTGGTATCGTTCTTTAACTTTGATAGATTTTGTAAAGTTTTTTTGTTATTTGTTTTCCTTTTCATCTGGTTTTTATTTATTTTTCTTATTCTTTTTGTTAAGTTTTTAGTCATAAAACCTAATTAGGGTTTTAGCATTTTGGTGGAAGAATAGTGGATTTTCTATGGAGAAATGCTTTCAAGTTGTTTTTCATAGCTAATTATTGATCTTAATATGTTTTTTTTTTTGTTACATAGCTATATGATTTCATGGTTTTTTTTTTTTTGTGGTTAATTTCATTTCAAAATTAGGTTTACTTTGAATAGGGTTATATTCTGTTACTTATTTTGTTCATATTTGATAATGTGTAGTGTGGTATGTAGTTTGCCCTGATCTAGTTACATGTTTATAATTGATCTCTCTGGAAAAAAAAAGTGTCAGTGTCCGATATTTGTAATTAATTTAATCTATTTATTTATATTTTTAAATTATTACCGGTGTCAAAGTGTCAACATGTCAGGGTCGGTGTCGTATTTCCGGTGTTTGTGTTTTATCGTATATGATCTAGGAAGTGTGAAATTGAAACTAATCCTTGTTCAATGATACACTATTTAGCACAAAGTGTTGTTACATAGTGTGACGACGCTGAATCTTAGTAGAATTTGAGTAAACATCTACTTTCCCCAATTGGCAACACTGTTTACCACTCACATCATTAAGTTTAAATTTGTCAGCATTTTGGTCATAATGTAAGTGATTGTTTACCACTCGCATCATTAAGTTTAGATTTGTGAGCAATTTGGTCATAATGTAAGTAATGGTTTGGACAAGTTGATTTTGAGTCAAAGATCGTGGAAAATAGATTTAGGTCAGGTGGTTTGAGCATTTAGAGAGAAGACCTAGAGAGAAAATCTGTAGATTATGTGGTAAAGAGAGTAAATCAGATGGAGAGGAGTATAATGGCTAAAGGTAGAGGAAGACTTAGAATAGCCGTCAGAGAAGTTATTAAGAAAGATCTCGAGATTAACGATTTGGATAGAAGCATGGTCTTGGATAGAACATTATGGCGGAAGTTGATCCATGTTGCCGACCCCTCTTAGTGGGATAATGCTTGATTGTTGTTGCAGTATTAGGTTGTTATCTTAATTAACTAAGTCAAATTGGCTGAAGCAAATTAGTTGTTTCAGTGAATAAATTTTTCGTTCAGTTTTTTAACTGTTTCAATAATATGATTATAAGCATTGTTTCATGAACTAGAGGTTCAAGTTTATAAATCTAATTTGGCTGGTTCTTTAATCTGCTGTTGTGACCCTGTGACTTACTACGTGTTCAAGTTTTATGAGTTCATGTCATACTTTGTTCTTTTGTCATTATGGTATCATATGAAGTCAAAAACTTGCAATATGTTTGATCTCTAAATTCATTCGCATCTTGTACTACAGCCGCCATCCAACTGTCAAATGGGCCCAGAGGTCTGACGAAGTGTTCATAACAGTTGAGTTGCCTGATGCTCAGAATGTGAAGCTCAAACTTGAGCCGGAGGGAAAATTTTACTTCTCTGCAACTGCTGGTGCAAAAAAGATTCCATATGAAGTTGACATTGATCTGTTCGACAAGATTGATGTAGATGTAAGGGCCACCAGTTTATGGTTTTTTTTATATATGCAAATGTCAGTATATTACTCTTTACGTCTTTCTGAAAAAAAAACTCCTTCAAACTAGTTGATGGTTATTTGATTGTATCTTTTCCAACATATATTGTAATCGGTGTGTTCATATGTCTTTTCAGAATAGCGAATCCAGTGCTAGTTCGAGACATATCTGCTACTTAGTGAAAAAGGCCGAGAACAAATGGTGGGACAGATTATTGAAGCAGGGAGGGAAATCTCCTTCCTTTCTGAAAGTTGATTGGGATAAATGGATTGATGAAGACGAAGAGAATGAGCAAGATGCCAAGCGTTAGTGATTTCAAAAGTACCTCTATCTGAATTTTTGGTTTTATTTTTCATCAGTTTGTCTCATTCCTGAATATTGGTTTTCAGCTGTATCTGATATGGACTTCGGTGATGTCGACTTTTCTGTAAGTAGTGTTGCTCAATCAATAGTTTAATAATACATTTCTTTTCTGTTATCTCTTGATGCATAAATTCACTTTCCATGCAGAAGTTGAACATGGGAGGGGGTCACAACGGCTTGGGTTTTGATGCTGCAGGCGACGATGATGGTAAGCACGGCGCATCTGATTTTTTAACCTCTTTATGGCTTAAACTTTCTGTTTCTTAGTTTACTCTGCCATGACTGTATTTGACTTTCGGAACTTTATCTGTTTTCTTTGCCAGACGATGAGAGTGATTCAGAAGAGGAGGATTCAGAGGAAGCATCTTCTGGCATTGAGCTAGATGCGAAAGACTCTGTAGACGGCAATGTGAACGAAGCACCTGACACCAAAGCATAAATTTTTTTAGATTGCTCTGACTGTAACTTTCAGAATACTTATTCTTAAAGAACCTGAAACCTGCTTAGGGGTTAACTGGTTATTCGGTGTCCGACAAGGTGGTCCTGATATGTGTTTGCTCCCTTTTTGGTGTCTGTCCCTGGATTTTTGTAACACGATTGACATACGAGATGGTCTAGTGCATGTTTCTGTTGCAGTCGATTATGCATTGGTGAAGATTATTTTTGTGTGTATGATTGCGTTGAGATGAGATTAACTATTGTTGTCAATTAGATTGTGTTTTTAACTAATGAGATTAAACGCAGTGGACAATGGATTGAAATGCATACTCATCATATGAGGTTGTTCTTGTGTCAAATCATATAAATCCCAAAATCATTGATCTGATTGTGTATCTTCATTTCTCATTTTATCTTTATTCAAATATGATATAGATTTGATATTGGTGATCTAATAGAAACAGGCAACCCAGATTTAAAGAGCACATATACTTTTCAAAGTTGAAAAACTGATTTAAATTGTTATGAGAAATGTCCTAACTTTTAGATGCTTTGATTGTCAAAATTCTTTTTATGTCTATTAAATTATTGATTTCTTTTGTGTAATTTATTGACACCAAATGTTAAATTTAAGACACTTATCCCTCTCAATAACTCTTTCTCAAATTTAAATTAAACTAATTTGACAATTAAATTGAGAGGTTTTATTAAATAGATCAATCTATAAAATTTTATAAAATATTTGATATTCTATTTATTAATTTATTTTAATGTATAATAAATTATTTGAAATATTAAATAATTTGAAATTTTTTTTATGTAAATGATCATCGTAATAATTAAATAATTCAATCATAGAATTGATTTATAGAAACGGAAACTTGACATTTGTTCCTTTATTTCAAATATATAAAAAAATTATATATAAAAAAATTATGCACATGATTTGCTATAATTTAAATGATGATACTCGATTTCTATAAATTAATTTTATACAAACCATAATTTTATACATGTGATACCACTAATGTCATAGTAATACCAACACATATAATGTAATTTCACTGAACATATTCTAAAAACAATTTAGATAAACTCAAAAATAAAAAAAAGTGGCATAAGATTGCATAGATGATACGCCACATTCACTTGGTCTTTGATGGCTTTTTCCTCAAGCGTGTCTATAGGCATTTTAAACGTCACAAACTTGTTCAACATAATTTCCTACCACACATTACAAGACAAACTCCTTATACTTTGCAACCACCTTTCAAACACTCTTCATTCTCTCTCTTTGTTTCACTACCAAAAACAAAAGAGGGAAAAACAAAACAAAACAAAAATTACTGTTACTCGTAACTGCAATAACTTCCATGTAGAATCATAATCATACATTCATAGTTTCAATCCAAAATCATTGGTCACTCCATCGTCTCTTTCAAGGTAATTTCATACTTTGATTGAAATTTTGTTGTTGCATATTTCATGTTTTAAATTTTTCATTATTTATGAATTATTTTGAAATTTCTTGAATTTTTCAGTTTCTGACTTCTATGCTAAGTTTTGCTTTATTTCTATCTCAAATCATGCTCAAAAGCATTCATGATTTAGGCCTTTGATTCATTGATGATTCTATGTTACCTGTATGACATGTATTAATGTCTGATTCCAACACGACACATACATATATAATTACTTTAATTTATTCATTTTTTAAAATTATTATCAGTGTCGACTTGGTTGAGTATCGTGTCCATGCCTGTGTTCATGGTTAAAAAAGTGTCAACGTGGTTGAGTATCATGTCTGTGCCAGTGTTCATGGTTAAATTTTTTTTTTTTATAGTAAAAGGTAGTATTCTAGTCAATTAATTTCATCCTATGAAGCATGGATATCTGAAACGCGACACCAACATTGTAATAATTTAAAAAAATAAATAAATTAAACATAATCACAAGTGTTAGTATCAATTTCAGACGCAGACACATTTTTTTTCTTCTGAAATGTCGGTGCTACTTTCATCTCATTTGAGCATATGCAAACTTATGCCAATGTTTGTTATAATCAATGTATGACAGAAGAAAGATGGATCACATTCAATGGAACAATGCAAATCGAAAAGATTGGATAAAAAAGCCGCTTAGAGATTGAAGTTTCCTCAGACATGTCATTGAATGATTGTCCTATTTATTCTGAAGTGATGCTCTTTTTTGAGTATATATTATGGCTTGTGTGAGTATACATTAGAAGTTTTGAGACAAGTGTAATGGATTTCAAGGACGGCCATGTATCGAAAGAGCATCACGAGCTTCATCAATCTGCAGCAGAAAGTGTTGATCCAGTATCTGTTTCTCCTATACAAATTTCTTCTCCTAAGTCACCAAAATCTCTAGGTTCTCCAAATGCGCAAGTTAAGGGAGGCAGTTTAAGTCCGGAAAATAACCGGCAATTGCATTCTCCAAAAGACGGAAGTTCGAAGAAAGGTAAAATTTTCTTGTTTTACCAAGTTTTCCTTTTCGTTATGATGAATCTCTAACTAATCACCACCTAACTACTCTTATTGTGAACTGCAGGTGGTTCTGGCGGGAAACAAAACGATGACATGAACGTTCTTGACCCGAATGATCCAAACTATGACAGCACAGAGGTAGGTTGTTAAGATTTCATCATTATCTTAATATTTATATAAACTTATATTATATTGATCAAATCAGTGTTGTCAAATAGAGGCTAATACGTAACGGAGTTTGAACAAATCGGTATTTTCTGCGATCTGCTACTGACAACACTGGATCAAATCTTTGATCATTTATTCTATTTGTAATGTATCGATCAACTATGCAAGTATATATGGTTTTGTAGGAAATTGATGATTCAAATGAAAAGAAAAAGAACACGGCGTTGGAAGAGTACAAGAAAAAAGCTACAATAATAGTGGAAGAATACTTTGCAACCGATGATGTTGTTGCAACAATGAGTGAACTTAGAGAAATCGGTAAACCAGAATACAGTTACTATTTCGTCAAAAAGCTTGTCTCAATGTCGATGGACAGACACGACAAAGAAAAAGAAATGGCTGCCATTCTCTTATCTGCACTTTATGCTGACATCATTCATCCTTCACAAGTTTACAAAGGATTCACCAAATTAGTCGAGTCGGCTGATGATTTGGTTGTAGATATACCGGACACCGTGGATATTCTAGCGCTTTTCATAGCTAGAGCTGTTGTTGATGATATCCTTCCGCCGGCATTTTTGAAGAAGCAGATAGCAAACTTACCTAATGATTCTAAAGGTGCTGAGGTTTTAACGAAAGCGGAGAAAAGCTATCTGACAGCACCTTTACACGCCGAAATCATCGAGCGGCGTTGGGGAGGTAGCAAGAATACAACAGTTGATGATGTGAAGGCAAGGATAAACAATTTCTTGAAAGAATATGTAGTAAGTGGTGACAAGAAAGAAGCTTTTCGATGCATCAAAGACTTGAAAGTTCCGTTTTTCCATCACGAGATAGTGAAAAGAGCTCTTATAATGGCGATGGAAAAGCGACAAGCGGAAACGCCGTTACTAGACCTATTGAAAGAAGCAGCCGAAGAAGGATTCATCAACACAAGCCAAATGTCAAAAGGGTTCAGCAGGCTGATTGAAACCGTCGACGATTTATCGCTTGACATACCGAACGCGCGCGGAATACTTCAACAACTGATATCGAAAGCGGCTTCCGAAGGTTGGTTGTGTGTCTCATCACTAAAATCACTTACAACCGAGGATGAAAAGAACACAATACAAGAAAATGTTGCAAGAAGTTTCAAGATGAAAACTCAATCCATCATTCAAGAGTACTTCTTATCGGGTGATATATTCGAAGTGAATAGTTGTTTAGAACAAGAGAACAACAAAAACTGCGGCGAACTAAATGCAATCTTTGTTAAGAAACTAATAACTCTAGCAATGGACAGAAAGAATCGAGAGAAAGAAATGGCTTCCGTCTTACTTTCATCGCTTTGTTTTCCACCTGACGATGTTGTGAGCGGTTTCGTGATGCTAATTGAATCAGCAGACGATACAGCTTTAGACAATCCTGTTGTTGTTGAAGATCTCGCTATGTTTCTAGCAAGATCAGTAATCGATGAAGTTTTAGCACCACAACAGCTCGAAGACGTTGGAACACAATGTATAAGCCAAGATTCAATCGGAAGCAAAGTGCTTTTAATGGCGAAATCATTGCTAAAAGCAAGACTCGCAGGTGAGAGAATCTTGAGGTGTTGGGGTGGGGGTGGAAGCAGCAGACCTGGTTGGGAGATCGAAGACGTTAAAGACATGATTGGGAAATTGTTGGAGGAATATGAATCCGGCGGTGATATAAAAGAGGCTTGTAGGTGCATGAAAGAGTTAGGTATGCCATTTTTTCATCATGAAGTTGTTAAGAAAGCTATGGTGAAAACTATTGAAAAGAAGAATGAGAGGTTATGGGGCTTGCTTAAAGAGTGTTTTGAATCAGGGTTAATAACTATGAATCAAATGGTTAAAGGTTTTGGAAGAGTTGAAGAAGCGCTTGATGATTTGGCTTTGGATGTTCCTGATGCTAAAAATCAGTTTGGATTTTATGTTGAAAAAGCTAAGAAGGAAGGATGGTTGGATAGTTCATTTTGCTACAACAATGCAATAGAGAATGGCACAAGTTAAGTTTTTTGATTACCACGATACAGGTACGAACGAAGTATCTATGATCATGAGTGATTAGTCTCTGTTAGAAAATTTGATAGAAATTTAAGGTGGATTCTCATTTTCTTATCGAGTTTTCTCAATACATAGAAGTCTGAAACCAAATTTCTCACCACTTGTTTAAGATGTCTACCACTCAGATCAACCAGTGTTGCTACATAGGATAATGTTATCTTTGTTTTCTAAATTTACACTCACATTAGATGCAAGCATAAAGGGCATGCTTTATTGATTCATAAATACTTAATAGCTTTGTAAGAAACTTGAAATTTATTTACACAATATTTTTGTTTCATTTTGTTTGTTGATTTGGCCCTTTATCATTGGAACTAACAAGTTGCCACTCACTTCCCCTACTACGCAACAACTTTAGTTAGAGGAATGCTAAAAAGTGATCTTAAGATATCGTTTTAAAATCCAACAAGCATAAGTTTGTATGTCATATTTATTCAAATGACATGATATTAGCATAAAGGAGGAGAGGAGGTGAAATAAGATGATGCACTTCTATACTTAATGTGAGATTTAAGAGTTATGATTAAAATTAAATATTTATAATGGTGACAATTTATAATTAATTGACATAGTTAGATTTTTTGTGTGCTAATAGTGCATATCAACCAAGTAATATTAAAAAAAAAAAATTGTATGAACAAATTTGTAATAAAATGAAATTTATTGGTCAAAACAACTTATCCACGATTATATGAAAATTTTATTTGAATCTATCCCAGATTCATAAAATTAATCTATCTAGATGTCATTTAAAATTATATGAACTAGATTGAATTTTGTTGGACGAAAAACTCAATCACAAGATGAAATGATAAACAAATGAATAATAGAGAGAGTGAGAAAATTAGAGTAAAAAATTGTAGTTGTCATTAATGATTTAACATGGAGTATATACACAACAATGCACATCACTGTAGCTAATCAAATAAAATGAAAAACAAACTTTTCAAGATCACTACTGTCTCAAAATTACTAAAAAAACTGGATGGTGGTAATGGGTTTCACCAAAGGTGTACATGTCGATTTTGTTTGATTCTGTTTGCTGCTGAAGAGGTGGTACTCAGTTACACTCCTATTGTTACTGATTACACCAACTTAAATTATCACTTTTTCACAACACACTTTTTTAATTCAAGTCTTCCAAGTCTTCCATACTCATGTGCTTCTTCAACCCCTTGAACACTTCAATTGTTACTCCCCTGGTTAGCAAATCGTCACTTGATCTTCACTTCTGCAATATCCTAACTTAATTTTTCTTCACTCATAAGCTCTCTCAAGTAACAAAATCTCATCTCTATATGTTTGCTTCTTCCATGTGCAATGAGATTCTTAATAATGTTTATAGCAAAAATGTTGTTTATCATTAAAGTTACAACTTCATTCTCTTCACTACACAACTCCTTAATTAAATTCATCAACCATGCAACTTAACACACACAAATAGACGCTGCAATATACTTGGCCTTGCAAGAAGAGAGCACCACAATCGGTTCCTTATTAGAACACCAAGAGATGGGTGTTTCTCCATACATAAAGATGCATCCAACAATGGATTTTCTGTCATTTTCATCTCCACGCCAGTTTGAGTCGGTATAACTGAGCAATTTGCAACTTCTATCTTTATTTGTTGCGGGAAATTGAATTTCGCAGTCAATTGAACCTTTGCCGTATCTTAAATTTCTCTTGACTGCTTTTAAATGTGATGCCTTTGGCTTCCCCATAAATCTACTCAGTATGCCCACACTAAATGACAAGTCCAGTCTCGTATTGCACAAGTACTGCAATGATCCAATCAGCTTCCTATATTGTGTTGGATTAATATCTTGTTCGTCTTCATTCTTTGACAATTGCAATATTGGCTCTGTCGGGGAAATTGTCACATTACAATTCTCTCTTTCGAACTTCTTCAAAATCTCAAGAGCACGTCTTCTTTGATGCCTAAGCAGTCCTTTTTCGGACTTGTGAAACTCAACGCCAAAGAAATATGTCATAAGACCAAGGTCGATCATCTCAAACTCCTTCATTAAATCACCCTTGAACTCAGTAATGTAACATTCATTGTTGTTCATAATCATTAAATCATCAACTTAGAAACATAGGATCATCACTCATTTACTTGTTCCTTCTTCACATACACACCATGTTCGGATATGCATTTATCAAATCCTATCTCCTTTAGAAGTCTGTCAATTATTTTGTTCCAAGCTCTTAGTGCTTGCTTCAGCTCATACAACGCCTTCCTCAATCAATAAAACTTGGATTCCTGATATCTTACAACAAAACTAGGTGGTTGTGCCACCACTACTAGAAAAAGTGCTTTTAATGTCAGACGCGAAATGCATTTTACCTTGTTGTGGACGGTTTGCAAATCAGCTTAAAACTATGGTGTCACATGCAAGTATACATGTATGTTTGATTGTAGCAAGTAATAAAGTAAGGATATCGTACCCACAGAAAGTAGAAGAGATTTAGATTGAACTTTTGTAAATAATCTTTGTTTAAAAGAAGTATGAGTAAGGTAACAAATAACAATTGATAACAAGTAAAGGGAGTCCACACTACAAAGTTAAAACTACTAAATAAGAGGAAGAAAATATCAAGAGAGTGATTGATGATCTGAAATCCATTAATATATTAGTAGTCTAAATGTGTCAATGATGTGAAGTGTCATGGCTTAAAAGGTCAGAACGTGATCTCACTGTGTATCTCTACATCATTAAATTATGCATTACTAGGGCAAGGGAACAAATATCTAAGCCTCACTTATAACCCTAAAATACGTCTGATTTTAATTCTGAAAATTCTTTATGGCCTCAGCTTCTTATCTCTAAGCAAGATAATTTAAGTGAATATCTCTATCCTACTCGTTTAACCATATTTGTTATGAAATCCACTTGTTGTTGGATCTCTCACAACAACAAGCTTTTACCTTTTTCTAAGTTGATCATTCTAAGAAGCAGGTTTATAGCATAATAACACATAACAAAACAAGACATCATTTTAACATTAAGACAACATTATATTAACTTGACTTTGCTCATCAAACAAGTGTTTAGCTCATAGTGAGCTAAGTATAAACTACTGAACTGAAACTAGTAGGAAACATACTTAAACAAAAGATGTAAAAGAGATGACAACCTAATAGTAACTTGGAGTTCCTTTGTGTTGGATAAACAACAACTGATATCTCCAATCACGTCAACTCTTAGCAGTGAGTATAGGATTGGATGAGAAGAAGAACACTCTCTATTTTTTACTAACCCTCAAAAGAAAATAAACAACTACTTAGAATATTTTGCTTGTGTGAATTCTCTAACTCCCTTCTTTTGAAGCGTAAGGTTAGCTTTTATAGACTTGCATGTGGATGTGAAAGTTGGTAGGCTTTGGATCTTGGGCCTTTTATTCAAATGAGACTTCATCCCAAATCAAATCAACAAATTCTCCAGTTGTTCTTCATCCTTAGCGAACAAGTTTTCAGTACAGACAGCAATGGGAGACAAGGCGTCTACTACAGGCTGCTGCAATAGATAGTGACGCAGAAGTACAGGGGACATATGGCTGGTGCAGGATGCGTCTTTGCAGATGTGGTCCCCACCGCACTATATTTTTTATCCCTATGCACAATTGATCTTATCTTTTTGCTTCTTTAATTCTTCCAAGCATATTCCTACCACGTAGGCCCTAGCAATGAATTTCCTCTAAGCTTTTGGTGAATTACTGATTGTGATCTTTAGCAACTTCAAAATTTTCAAATTGTTCACACTCTAAACTCTGTCTTGGATAGTCGTGCCTCAGCTTGCCTTAAAACTGTATTTCAAAACAAAAACACACATAAAAACTACAAAGGGAAGCACCTAGTGTGCTTAAAACAAAATAAGCTAAAACTAGCAAAATTAATTAAATAGACATTAAACTTAAACTAAAAACCTATTTGGTATGTGTACATGAACCAAACATCTTTGTGAATGCTATGCCTTTTCTGCTTGACAGCCTGCTCACCTTTGTGTTACAATTGCAACTTGATAACCAATTTGTGTTATGTGCATTTCCTGTTCATCCTTAAGTGTTAAAATCATTCATAGACATGTTTGAATCTTGTGTATGATGTTTGTTTTGCCTAAACCTTTTCCAATCATGTCTTGGTTTCATTTATGCATTTTTATGTGTGTTTGAGCAGCTAGCATATCACTTTCATTTCTATCTTGTTTGTGGCCAACCTTGAAGTGTAGAAACACTTGATAATATAATTTGAGTTTGTGTGTGAAGCTTGTTCAACCTGATTGTGTTTATTGCATGACTTAGCTTTTAAATTGCATCTTTCAATTTCACTTGGCATGGCATGACAGTTCTGAGCTTAGCATTCTGATTGGTATCATCATGTTTCTTATTGCATTTTATTTGGTTTGGTTGAGATGCCATGAGATCTTCCTTTTCTGTTCTGATAAAGTTTGATTTCCATCCATGATTGCCCTTGTGTTTGAAACCTAGGCAGCATGGCCCTTTGGTTTTGGCCTGCTGTTTGGCTGCTTTTGTTGGCCAACCTTTAATCTTCCCATTTCCATTTGAACCAGCCATATGTACATGTTGTAACTGTTATCTGTTTAAGTTTTTTTTTAACCATTTGGTTCATAATTTGAAGTCCTTTGTTCTTGTTTATTTGTAAGCACAAGTTCACTTTCTTCACAAATTCACTCAAGTTTTCAATATGTTGTCATTACTGCATCATACTATCTTTCTTCTGCCTGAGCATTTGTGTTTGGTTTATGAGCATCAAAGAGAATCATTGACATGTTTAGAACTGGTAGGCCATGTGTGTGTGATCTAAACCTTTCCATCTGCACCCTTGACAATTTGCCTTCATTTTCATGCTATGTTTGCAATTCATATGCCTCTTTTTGATCCAACACTGTTTTGATCAAAATCCTTGCTAGGACTCATTCATAATC